CTTCTCACCAAAATCAATGACATCATGCCGTTTTCATTGTCACCAATAAAACCGTGCGTGTTATCTGTGCTTGTTAATAGCTTGGGATAATGGCTTCAGTTACAAGAGGCACTCCAAGCATTAATTAACTAAACGTCTGAGAGCTTGAGACTCTATTAGGACAATCCCCACAGACATCCTCGACCGGCAACCCTCCTCTTCCACCAGCTATTGATCACTCAGCTGTTCTACCCGTTTCCCTCGGTCTCTGTGTCTCCTTTTCACGCCACTTATGAGTCTCAGTCAATCACACAAGCCGTCTCCCATCTCAGGACCATTCCTTCAAGAGCTGCACAGCCAGGAGGATCAGTGTCATGTAAACATGCACATCTGCGAGGGGTTCACAGCCAACATTTTCGACTGTGGTCTACGTTAGAAAATGCACCTGAATGGCAAATCTGTGTCACTGCTGTTAAGGCTGGAAATTCTACTATCATCTAATGCTACACTGAGCATGTGGTGTGTTTGATGAATGCAACTGCTGTCAAGAGAAGAATTACAGCAGATAAATGAGATGGATTTTCTCACTTCTCAACCGACATCACACCGTTTTTATTGTCAGTACTATAACCACTCCTTTCATTGACAGGAGTTTGTTGCTAAATGCAGCACACAATGCAGAGATACGGTGTACCAGTATAGAAGCATGTGGGAGGAAGCTTTCTTTTTTTCCAGGAGGGGTGCTTTAACACCACATCCTCCTCAGATGAGAAAGATAAACAACCCTAGTAACTTCTGTGGTGCATCCCTCTAACTCTCTCTCTCTCTCTCTCTCACTAACTTCTCTCTGCTGCAGGGAGCATCAGTCATCTGCCTGTAGAGCTGGGTGAGAATCCATCACTTCAGCACCCTTCACTCACCCCACAGCACTGGCTAACATGAGCAGTAACCTGTTCTGTTATAATCATGCACAACGTTCATACAGGAGAAAAACGATTAGTAGGATTTGCTTCAATGAGGTGTGTGTGTGTGTGTGTCATAGAGACCCGTTTTGCTGAGAAAAGGGTTTCACGTCCCATCTAATCAATACTGACAGTCTGAGGCCAGTGGCACTGTGCTGCTACCAGAGACATCCTGCTGACAGGGTGGGCTGTTAATACTGTCTGACCCAAGATCCCCTCCTGAAGAGAAAGCCCTCTAAATGACCCATGTGCGACCTGCTGGTGATCACAGCTGAACATGAGGGGACATGGAGCTGCTTTGAATGCAGTTCCCGCTGTTCAATTAACCTCATCAAGACAAGGCAATGAAAACAATAGATAGAATAGATTTTTTTTTTTTGCTTTGTTTCTCATCACACAACAATGTCACAAGCAATAAGGCAAAACTCAGCAGGATTTAATGCAGGTACCAAAGCGCAGCAGCAACTGTAAAAACAATTCCTCTCAGACACACATCCAAAATCATTCAAATTATCTTTAAGAGCAACTAAACATGAGTGGCACAAATTTAAAAAAGAGCAATTCAGTTTAGTGTGAACCACTCAAGTGATTAGACTCTATTACACAGCGAAAACACAAGGGCACTGCCGGCCTTTTAAAATGTCCTGCTGTCCCATAAAACCCAGGCGTGGCCCTGCTCAGCACCGGATTGCATTTAATGGGATTTCACAACATTAACATTCTACTGAGTCAGCATCAGTGCCCCTCTGCTGAAACAGCCACAGCTCTCACTGTGTGTCTGTACCACTGGTGTGTGTGTGTGTGTGAGTGCACGTCTACGCTGAGTGTGCAAGACTGAGTGTGGGCCGGTCAGGAGTGACTGGACACAAGGTGGACAATTATAAAACATGCTTTTACTACAAGGAATCCCTCCAAGATATAAGTGTAGTATGTAGATCCTCTGACAGACAGATAAAGTATTTCTGTCTTCATCTCCTGACATGATGCGGCTGGTGTACCTGTGACTTTGGACGCTGCTTTCTGGAACCCTTATCTAAACAAGTTTGTATTTCATGGTTAAATGTGGACATTATTGCACACATCAGAGGCATGGACACTTTATAGAGCAACTAACCCAAAAAAAAAAAAAGAATCAGAAATTTTCAATAGCGACAGTAGCAAAAAGGAATGTCTCACCAAAAACCAGTGCAAAACTTGCTGCAAAGCCACTGCTCTCAGTAGCTCATTGTAATAAAAAAGAATATATGACAAGCACTACAGGCTGTTTCTGAAAAGTTGCCCGTACTGAAATGCCACAACAACAGGGAAAAGGTTAAATCTCTGAATGAATGAATCTTTCAGCCTGCAAACAACAAAAGAGAAAAATATGTGCTGCCTTAATTAAGGTGTAGCCGCATATAACCCAAGTGAGATTCTGTGATCAATAAGAGTGCAGCTTCTTGGTGTTAACAACTAAACACAAGTGTTGTTAATGTTGGATCTAACATCCACACTCAACAGAGCGACAGAAGCAAAGCAAAGCATGCTGGAACCTCATTTTCATGACCACTGTTAGTTCAAGGGAGCAGCAGGAGACTGGGGAGACTAAGCCGTCGTTACCTGGGTGTAACCCGCAGCTGTCATTAGAGCTGACTTGCTGCTTGACACAGGAGGGACGGTTGAGCAGCACAGCAACCGTTTCCCACCTCATTTGTCAATATAAATTCAACAAATAACCCGACAGTGGTGAGCATAATAGCCGTGTCAGCCATTTACCACAAAAGTGCACGGCTACCCCGTCAGGTTAGTCCAGCTGCTTGTTGGTGATGAATGTTAATCTCCAAGACAATGGGTCATTTTCTACCTGATGTAAAAGTCATTAGTGCACTCGCCTTCACTCATTTCCTCGTATTTCATGTCGAGTCTCCTGAGGCGGCAGCGAGAGATTTGTTACATCAGTTCCACCAACAATTACATTAAAAAAAGAGAAAAAAAAAACTAACTCAGGAAGCCTTTCTATTAAGAAAAATCTGATTTGCTATAAGTAGCAAAAGTTAAAAAGGATGGAAAAGGAAATGGGTTTTCCAGCTTCCTAGTGTCCATCAGCAATCAGGGGCATCAATCAATCTTTGCTGTGTATGAGTTGTGTCTTACAGCTTGAGCGACACTGGATAATTAATGCTGATTCAGATATCAATATTTGGCAGTTTAAAAAAAGAAACTTGCTATTGATCCTTTAGTTACAAAACAGACACTGTCAAAATGTAAAGCTGGCATTAAAAAAAAAAAAAGTGTGCCCTTAATCTTACTGAATACTCACATAGAAATAAATGCTTTACCGAACCAGCACAGAAACAACAAACATTAGAGAATTAATGTTCTCTTTCGATATAAATGTACAAAACCAAAGAATAATAGGATTATTTGTTTTCATGCTAGGATCACATATCACTTCCCCTTGAAGCATGAGAAGTGAGAATAATAATATTCTTTTTATTCCTTAAAAAGCACAGAAATACGAATAACACCCGATCATAAGTTTACCATTTTATTCCTAAGGTTGTGTCCCTTCTCTCTCAGTCTGTCACAAAACACATACACATGACTCATGCACAAAAACATATCAATGATTGGGTCGCAGTCCACTGTAAACAGTGCGAAAGGTCAAAACACTGATAAGTGCCCTCTTATTTGCTTCCTGGTAGACGCTGGATGAAATAAACAAGAACTCCACGGTTGACTTCTGATTACTGTGAACCTGGGCACCTCTGTGCCACCCACCGACCCAAGGTAACAGAGAGGTCAACTGATGTCACAGTGGTCACAGGGTCAAACCCCAGATGGTGGGGAAATGAGAGTGCAGGGGTCAATAGTTTCTTTATGATGAAAGCATATGAGCTGACATTCAACGGTATAAGGAAGCTATTTAAAACATTCATAATACTGTCTACAATTAAGTCATCCTGGAGAAAACTGCATATGCGTTAATAGTTAGATTGTGGTTTTTTGTTTATTACACAATTCACAGCTGAAAACAAGAGCAACCATCACAACAGTTAGCCTAGCTACCAGCTATGATCAGCCAGTTCTGTAACTCCAGCTCACCATCTGCTGTGGTCCACCCACACCAATCTCTCATCACACTTGATCTGGACAGTAGCCTGCCAAAGCCCAGGAGGGCAAAGCAGATGGTGTGGTTACAGGCAAAGCATTTAGCCTCTGAATAGCAGGCAAACCTCGAATCAAATGGGCACTGAATGGAGTCAAATAGTGCACTTTCTGGTGCTTCAAGGGCATTAGGCTGCCTTGTTTGCTCACCTGGAATAATGTCAGCTTTTGATTAATCAAAGCAAAGCTTGGGGGGGAAAAAAATACACTGTGCTTCTGCTCAGTTCAAAACTCCACAAAGTATATATAAGCAACTTAAAATACTGGCGACTGAACCACATAACGCTGCTCTTGCGTATGCACTTTCCCTGCAAACACAAGGAGAACTGAAACTATCGTTTGATCTGTGCATGAATGAAACATAAGTAAAAGCCTTCGTTTAAAAAAAAAATAGGCAACTACCTGATTTGCAACAGCAGACATTGCCTCATGTGAACGGTTCTGCCTATTGCTCCAGCACAAGTCTTAACTGTTAGTTCAGTGCGTGCCTGAACAATTCAACAAGTTTAATTGTTTTTAAAATCAGTAAAAACAACCGACTTTCTTTAATAGTTTAATGCAGACATTTTTACGTGGACCACAAATAGTCAGAACATATCTTTCAGGTTTGGTTCTTTTAGGTGTGTCTGCTTGTAAAGAAGGAATGAATCACTAAAATGACACAATATTTAATAATAGATTTGGGAAAGGCTCAGTTCTCCAAGCAGGATGTGAAGGCAACGTATCGGCGCTACCGTTGCCTCGGAAAACAGAAGGGGGGAAAGTTTGAGACTAGACTTGTCTGCTTCTTGCAACAACAGAAAAATAAAGCGACAGTAGAAAACAGTCATGGCGCTTTGCTGTTGTTTTCGACGCTCCCTATCACAGTCTCACGAAAGAGAAAAATTAAAACAAAAATAAATAAAAACTTACCTGACGTTACCTTCCAAGTCAACGTATCCGCGGCGAGTAGGTTTCGAGGGAAAAAAAAAAAAAAAAAAAAAAACAACCTCAAGAAAACCTCTCACGACGCCAAGTTTCCTCTTTCCCCAGTAAAACCAACCAGTCAGACTCAAGTGTGTCTCCCAGGGAGGGCGAGGAAACAAAAGCGAAAAACACTTCTACGAAGTCGACATTAATCTGCACTGACGAAGTGAAAAAAAAAGGCGTTTCAGAGGCAACGGGCGGCTTTCTTTGTTCCTCCAGCCCAGCAGCCTGTTCCGTGGATATTATCACCGTTCATGTGTCCCTGACAGCCGCTGATTGGCTGGAGCGCCGGGATCAAGAAAAGGTGACTGGTGTCAAGCTGCTCAACATAACACCGCGCTTTTCCGATCACGACGTACGCAAAGAAACACTTTCCAAAAAAAAAAAAAAAAAACAATTTTTTATTTAGCTTTTCTATTTTTTTTATTTTATTTTTTTCAATAAATGTAGGGATTTTTATAGAGGATGTTGTGTTTCTTATCTTTTTTTCTATTTCTATTTTTCCTAAACGTGATGAATTCCGTGCTTTTATTTTGTACGCATCATCCCTACACTTCCTGTTAAATTCCAGCTTTTATAAAAACTTGACGCAGGGTGGAGGCCACTTCATGCCGTACATAGTTTTATCCTGAGCATAATCACAATCTGTCTACTGTTCTGTATTTAATTTATTTGGACTTTTAGCATAGGCTTGTATATAAGTGCATTACTTCCCATGTCTGCTCCGATGCACTTTATATTTTTGATGTTACCTAACAAAATATACTTTGTTGTAGATCTGTATCACACCTAGATTTAAACATGAGCAAGCAGGCTGGGTGTAATTAGGTTCATTGTGAAAACTAGATCATTGGCTCCCTGAGCAGCTGGCCTCAAATCAATCCCAAAGAGAGCTGGAGAATTGAAGTTGATGGGTCTAACACAGCAGAGATCACATGCCTGTCATGAAACGCAAGATTTTCTTCGCTCTTCTGCAGTGAATCATTTGACATTTTTGGGAAATAAGCTTATTCACTTTCCTGCCAAAAGCTAGATGAGAATATCATCAATAACACTATCATGAAAGTGCAGTTAGGAGACCGTTGGCTTAACTCTGCATTAAGACTGAAAACAAGGGAGAAACAGCTGAAGAAAGAAAAGTCTGCCTCCCAGCACCTCTAATTAACACTATATATTTAGTTTGTTTTATCCAAACAAAAGTGTAAAACATACATAGAGTGTAAAAACAACAATTAGTGGTTTTACGGGGGTCATGCACCAGACAGGAAGTCACTTGGCCTGGCCAGAGAAATAAGCTAGTGCATAGCATAACCCTTCCTAAAACCACAACTTGTCATTTTTAGACTTTGGTTTTTGTACAAATAAAACCATTTTCTCAGTATATAACATTGAGCTTTAGGTGCTGGTAGGATGATTTTTTAATTTTTTTTAAATTTTTTTTAACTTTAGACAGAGCCCAGCTGTTCCCACATTTCCAGTGTTTGTGCTAAACTAAACTATCTGTCTCTCTGAATGTTGCGTCATATTTAGCATACAAATATGAGATTGTCTTCTTCAGAATGCAGATAAGTGTTTTTCCCAAAATGTCCAAGTCTGTCTATTTATCCCATCTTCTACCAGAGAGTAAAATGTCTGTTACTCATAAAGCCAGAAAGTTGATCTCAGTGAGATAGTTTCTACTGAAAATGACTCAGAGATCCCATACTGTGCATGGGCCTGCAGTGGATTTTATGTTGTGTAAGAGCAGGTTACTGTCTGTGAATGAGGCTGTGAGAGTTAGCATGTCTGTGTTTGTATGTGTGTGTGTGTGTGTGTGTGTGTGTGTGTGTGCGTGCCTGTCTGCCTGCCTTTCAGTGCTGACTTCAGAGAAAAGCTGCCATGGCTGTTCTCACCAGCACGCACTGAATCTTCCCCAAGTCCTCCGACAGACACTTTGCATCAGATGTTTTCATTCCCTGCCTTTGGAAATTTCTTTCTTTGATGTTAACTTCATTCCCTTGTGCCGCTGTGTCAAATTGAATTTTCCCTACAGGGGATCAATAAAGGTACATTTTAACTTATCTTTCATTATAACGTCTCCCCTGCATCTACCCTTCTTTTTTCCCCCTTCTACTCCTCCTTGCATTTCCCCGGCTGTCTCTTTATATCCAGTCCTCCTGTTTCACATCTTCATCCTGTGGGTCTTTCTCTCCCTGGACCTGTTGTGGAGCCCGGCCATAATTGGATGGTGTACTGACAGTCGAACAATGTCGCTGAATCACCACGAGGACTTCTGCCTGTTAGACAATACAGGGGAGTACTTTGTCTAGACTTGGCTGAACTTCTCTTCACTTGGCCTCCCATAGGTAGGTGGTGTGTGTGTGTATATATGTGTGTGTGTGTGTGTGTGTGTGTGTGTGTGTGTGTGTGTGTGTGTGTGTGTGTGTGTGTGTGTGTGTCTCACAGCCAACCACAGTGGGCGGTGGGTTCAAACAGTTGCCAAAGTTAAGTGTCCTCATGTGTTTTTGTGGATGCATTGACTTCTGGTCCAGGGTACCTTTCCTCTACTTATATGAGAGGATTAGTTTGACAATTTGGGAAAACCACATACTTGCTTTCTTGCTGAGAATTAGTCGAGAGGAGTGTTACTTGCTCGAGAACAGCCTTTTTTACCCCATAGAGATCATCACAGTGAAAATAACAAGAGAACTAGATTAAGCTCCAGGTCCTGGATTACAAAACAATGAAAGCAACCACATCTAAGAAGTGAAAAAGTGCGTAATAGCTTTGGTGATTTTACAATATCCCCATGATCACAGAACAGCCGTGTTAAATAAGGGTTAAGTGCTCGGAGAAGAAACAGAAAGAGCTAGAGAGGCACATCGAATGCATTTTCTTTTTAATCCATGCATGCTGTGTGGTGTGCATAATACCTTGTGCATGTCAGCCATATGCCGTAGTTGTGGTTTTTCCACTTTGACGATGTGGGCAGACATCTGAAGCCAGAAGAGTGAGAATTGTCTGGAGCCTGGCTGCTCACAGATCCAAGCTACCGACTATTTCATCCTCCTCGGCTACAGCTGCTGCAGACAGACAGCCGTGCCCTGCACAGACGGCTCCGGCCTGTTGTGAAGTTCATGTGTTAAGCCAGTGGATGACTCACCTGAAGGACACTGTATCCGGACACCGCTGAGAACCTCCAATTACCGATCGAGGTTGGGCTGAGGTACCGGGCCCCGAGAGTTCATACAGAAAATGGATGAGCTGTCAAAGGGTTCTTTGATTAAGTTGCTTCTAATTGTAGCCCAGATAGAACTATAATTAAAAGATCCCATTGTAAGATAATACATTTGGACAAAAAGCCATTTTCTCTAGAGAAAAGCAGAACTGAGCTTAAAAGGAACCGTCACTGATTTTACACATGAATATAGTCTTACTTGTGACAGACGGTAGAAACAGCCGTATAATGTCTTTCTTGGCTCTGGAGTGAGTTCTTTAAGAGGCGAGACTAATTTTTAAAGGGAAAAACAACACATTCCTGCTTTCACAGATGAAATGATACTTAAGCAATAAAATGCCCTTGCTCAAGTCGCTATACTCACAGAGGTGTGGCTGCTACTGCCACTTGGTCTGGTGTGACCACTAGCTTACAGTGGCTAATGTCAGCAAACAATTTGATAGCTATGCTGCTGATATAATGGTTTTAGCATTCAGAATGATCTTTTAACTTTCACTTGTACCCGCAGTGAGCTAACTCTTGAGCCAATGTTTTAGCCAATTTAAATGTCCAAAATTTGCTCTGAAGTCACAGGGAAACAGTTGCAAAACCATCTTTAGCCTCCATAATGTGACAAATTTCCAAGTGAAAGTGAATATGCAGGTGGGAAATCTCAAAAGTGGGCATTGCTTACCAGATAAAGAGCTGTAGAGAGCTGCTGGCTACCTCATCTGCTATAGCACAAGAGAGAAATTAATAATTTAGAGGACCTCTCCCAAACACACACCTCTGACCCATGATATCATTCTGCTAGCTACAACTCTTGAGCTAACATGTTAGCAAGTGTGGTTTTATATGATAGGAGGTAGCTAGCTGATTGGATAAATTTGTGCCACAGAGCTGAGGATGAATCATAACAAAATATTTTGTTTGACAGTAAGAGAAAAGAGATCAATTTGAAAACAAAAATGATTATTTTAACATATGTGGTATTGATCAAGGGGGAACTGAACAAGTAACTTTTGGACACAGGATTGAAGTATGAGAAAATTACTAATTTGGCTTGACACTTCAACTTTATAACAAAAGGTTGTGTTACAAACTTGGGTTTCACCTTTGGCATGCAGATTTTCCAGGCAGGGAGGTTCTCATGGAAGACACTACTAAATTGCATTATGGGAAATATAGGATTTACTGTTTTTGGAGCTTGATCCATGATAGGGATCAGGGTATCTTGGCCTCCGCTTCTCCGATTTTGGCCATTCTTTTTCAAAAACTTTCTCATGTGAACCAACTTCATGAAAGTGGAGTGAAAAATCATTGGAATTCCCCATTTATGGACAGATAAGCAGCCTGATTCAGCAGACATGAGGAATCACTTCAGTAAAAGTGGAAATTAAAAAGCATGTGCCAAAGCAATAGGGGGGGGGGGGATGAAGAACTTGATCTATATGTGAAGATTGAAGAAACAACTTTAATCTTTCGATATAACCCAAATACAGATTAGTGCCCAGATTCCCTTTTTTTAGGATTAAACCAGACAGTAGAAAATATCAAAGCACAGAGCCAAAAGCCTATCAGAGACAGTGGAAATGGAAAACAGCAATATTCTGTCTTTTTTTTTTTTTTACCCCTCCCCCCACCCTAGTCCAGCAGTAAACAAGGTGCCAGTAATAACACTCTACTGGCTCAATCAGGATGTTTTTTTGGGGGTTTTTTGCCATCGTTTCACAGTGTGTCCCAAAAGCTCAATTTACAACTGAGGCACAACCAACACCCTGAGGCACTTTGTATTATTTCAAGAAGACTGGCATTACTGGCAGATTGTGGTGTATGTTTTTGGGAACACATTCCTCCTTCTTTTCAGTCTGACACAAAATAAATATGTGTGTTGTCTGACTCAGGCTGGTCCTGCCGGAGCTAATGCGATGATGTGATGCTGTTGTTCAGGCCAGGCGATGAATTAGGTAAGCGTGTTTCTCAGCTGAGGCTATGCCATCATGCACCAAGCATCAGTTTTTTGTTTTTTGTTCTGTTTCAGTCTACGAAGTTTACATGGTAGCTGGCTGCCTCATTTCATGCCACAACTGTGTCCGTGGTGCAGAATACAGTTTGGTGGAAGATGTTTTTTTTGTTTGTTTTTTTTTCCAATTCTCCCATCTTTTGAACAGAGGAATGAGGCAGCAGCAGGAGGTCATCTTTCAGTATCTGCCTCATTGAGCTGATGCTGGATGAAGTCCTCAGCCAAAAGCTCAGAAAGTCAACACTGCCACCTGGTGGCTGAAAATCTACTTACATATATTGTTCAGTTTTACAGTTTAATTAAGCACATTTTCTGAGACACAATTACAATTCTCAAAACAAAAGTGTAATCACCACATTAGTCAATACTGTGTAACACCTCATTTGTCCTGCAAAAGGCCGTCAGTCACTCAGCATAAATTGTGTCAAAAGTAAATATCGCCATTAACAAGAGCATCACGTGTAGTAATGTAAAACAGAAAATATGAAAATTAAAGTATGGTTAACAATGATCACAATACAAACAATTCATGTAAATTAGGAGCTACTGACAAAAAAGTCCATCTTTAAAATGTTTTAAAACTGCCCTGGTGCAGCCCTCTCTTTCTTGTCTCTGCCACACATATCACACTTTCACATCTACTCACCTTTCACCTTTGAATTAAATTTGTCATAACTGTCATAACTTGCACTAGAGTCTGAGTTTTGTTTAAACAAAAAAGTTTCACTTGTATGTGAAAGTTGTCGTGGTGATAAACAATCATCACCAACTTCACAGTTCCTGTCAGCTCATGTGTAGTGACTTTCAGCTCGTTTTGGTTTTGCAGCCAGTAACTTTGCTGTTTGGATTCACTCTCACCTCCGGCCGCAGCAAACAGCTGTTCTCAGCAAAAAGCATGTGATAAACCAGTTGTAAACGACTTGAACAGCACCAAACAGACAAAGGTGGTGACTAGCTGGGGCCTGCCTTGAAATCTGATATCTGATTGCTCCTCTTGGTACTCCACCCTCCAGAGTCAAATAGGTGATCGGTAGTTGGCTTATTATTGTTACAAGTTACAAGTTGTTACAAGTGGATTACTGAATAAGCCTTGGGTATCAAACCGCAAGAAACATAAAGAGGAAACAAAACAAATATACAGAGCTGGGCATCTTGCTCCTATGTAGAAAAGTAAGGGGCCCTTTACATGTCTGTGTTCAGGGGCCCATTTTCTTATTATCTGTTCATGGATGTAGATTATTTGGAGTTAAAAAATAGCATCTATTTATTTATATTATTTACTGTTGGAAACACATTTTTACTCATTTTACAAACGTGTCCCCCTTCAGCCTCCCCATTCAAAAGAGTTCGTAAAGAACAAAACAGAGCTTAAAGGGAGAGTAAATACCAGACTCACAGCTTCCATCTGACCAGAAATACAACTCCAATATGTTGCTCATATCTGCTTGATGTGGAAATAGGCAGTTGTTTGCCAACAAGTTCATCATATCAATTTCAAAAGGTGACAGTTGCCAGTTTTGTGACACTACCAGAAACATTCATGTTTACTGTTGGCAAGGATTACACAACAGGCATGTTGACATGTACGTCAGCTGAAGGTATTTGTATACTATATTTGACTTTTGTGTGAAAGCAACAAGAAATGCACATGATGTGAGAAAATAAGCAATAAATGAGAGTTTCACCATTTTGAGAATTATTTTTTTCGACAGTGCAAAAGTAACTGAGAAAAACTGTCAGACAAAGATTTTTTGACACTTAAATATACTTGCACTCTTTCCATTTTATTGACTTTTTGTTTTACAAAAACAGGTATGAGAGAATGCATAGACTGAGCTCACAGTCGGCTCATCAGTGACAACATGGAACAAAACAAAGGGCGTCAGGAAAAGGCAACAATTTATTTCAACAGATAAAAACAACACTGTTTGCAGCTATTCTTCTGAGTACACACATACTCCTATGGTCTCTTACACACAAGACACAACCGAATGACGTACGATTGTCACTTAAGCAAGCGCACACACGCACGCACACACACACACACACACACACACATACACACACACACACACACACACAAACGCAAACATTCTGGAACACAATGCAAACATGTGGGTGCAAAAGAAAATAACCATAGAATGCAGGGAAGAATGCATCACCTGACACTAACAGACACAGATACAAGTGAATGAGATGCATAGAAATTTACAGTTAAAAAGGGTCAGTTCACCCAAACAAGGAAAGAAATAAAATATTACAAAATAAAATAATGAAATAAAACGACAAATCTGGCTTTTTTTTTTTACTGCAGGTTTTGAAATATCAGCCACCACCTAAATACAACAATTCACTTTGTACTGAAGCAATGAGCAGACATCCCATGACCTGCAAAAATAAAACCGGAACTAAATGCCACTGAAGGTACTACAAGAGATTTTTTTTATTGTTGTTATTTGGGTGAACTGACCCTTTAATCACATAAACGTACAATCAACTCACACTACTTGTCCCGTTTTAAACCCATAGGAGTGTAGCCAGCACCATGATACACAAACGTCCAATCACTACTAGCAGCAACGGAGTCACCCATGGACTCGCATCTCACTACATCAGTAGTGTGTGTTGATGGCACCGTCTTGCAAGCATTTAACACATCTCTAATAAGACTTGTACAATGAGGCTAATCTAATGCATCCTTCACGTGTGCTGTAAAACTGTTCACTGTTCACATTGAGGATCACGTCAGTAATTTCAGTGGAAAAAAAAAAAAAAAGAAAAAAGCATCTGAGGACTCACACTGAAGCTGTTTCTGTAGTCTCACTGAGAGGGTGAGCATCGTCGAGCCAAATGTTATGCCAAAAACAAAAAATGCCCTTGCTGCTGCTTACTGCTGCACACCAGCTGACCTATGAAGCAGTGAAGTGTTTGGATAAGTTATCACTGTGAGTTAAAATACACTGGAAGATAAACACAGCACTGTGGGCGAAGCCGGGGGCCCTTTTAAGTTTGCCGTTAGTGGTGAAAATGCCCAGTTGTTGACAGTCTAGGTTCTTTAGTTACTTACACGGTTGGTAGGATAAATTAGGTCACAGCAAAACACTGTTTTTGTCACTTTAACATTGACATAAAAAAAAAAAAAAATATCCAAAGAGAGCAAGCACCTTTCCATTCCATGTGAAGGACATCCAACAACACATAAAACACTGACAAACCAAAAATAGAAGCCATTTCATTTAAAACCGGTTGAAATGCTGAGATTTTGTTTTTTTTTTTAAATGACAACTGAACAATGGAAAGGAATCAAGAAAACAGTTACCTTTTTTTTTTTCTTTTTTTTTAAAATATATATACTGGTTTGACTTAATTAATGTGCGCTTAGGGGGAGCAAATCCTGACCACTTCCTCCACACACTGGTTTAAACTGTACAACAGGTTTTCCAGAGTAAACTTAAGAGGATTGTCTTTGCCTGTAAAACTAACCTGGATCCTCCCAAAAGGAAAAAAAAGAAAAAATGAGATGAATATTCTAGAGAAAGACATTGAAAAGTGCTACAAAGACCAACACCCTTGTTTAAGAAGAAGGTGACAACAAGCAGGAAAATCCCCTCTCCTCTAAAGAAGATGCACTACATGTTTGCATTTTTGCCAATGCAACACACTCACTTATATTTTATATATCTATCAATATTACAATTTGTTAAAACTTGTTAATTATATTTATTTTTTAATTCACAATATTGGTCAGTGTTTTACTTCCTTGCTTTTAGTAAAAGTTATTCCTCCTGTTTATTTACATTCCAGTAGTAAGAACAGTGGATTATATTCTGGTTTAGTTTGGTGACTTTATTTTACCCTCTAACTAACCTTAGTGATCACTCTTCTTCCACACATGGTTAACACAAACATGTACAGGTCCATAGGTCGATGTCGTTACGCAGACTTCACTTGTAATAAGCAAGCAGATATCCGTTCATGTGAGTAGGTAGTGTGTAAAGAGCAGTAAATGCATGTAAATTCCTGCAGTACGAGGATATCGCGACCAGTACGAGGCTAGTAAAAACCTTTATGCGAGTGTGTCTGTACTCACGATATGTAAAAGGTTCACTAAGGGCACCTGAAATCACACAATACCAGTGTACAACTACATTTCTACATCCTTTGTTGTAACAGGTCAACCAGAGCTCCACCTCCTCCTACAGCCATTGTGCATCATAGTCTATGTCACATCCTAACACAAGGCACGTCACCCCTTCACCTCCCTCCCTTCCCTTGCACCCTTTTTCCTCTGTTCCTCCTTCCTCAACAAGACAAAGCTCGTTTTCACTAACTTGGGAACCCTCGTCAAATACTTCAGCTCATCTTTGTATTCTGGGCCTCTGGGGATGCTAGGAATGGTGCATGACGCTAACAAAATATTTTTTAAAACCGATCATCAGAGAACAAAGTCTCAGCTGGAGAGGGTCTTATATCCACTATGTAGTAAGGACTGGAATTACTGTATTTCTCTGTCATTATTAGTATTATTAAAGGCAGAATATACTGTAACTCTGGTTCTTTCTTCAGCAATCTGCACAAGCTATGTGTATAACCGAAGGGAGAACAAGGATGGAATAAAGATAAAGAATAGGGAAACTGTTTCTTTGCTACAGCTAAACCCAGATCCCCAAACCAGTGCAAGGATCTTTTCAACCCTCCTCCTTGTGCCTGACCCTTTAGTTACAAAACAAAACTCCCAACTTGCTTTTAACAACCACTCGTGTTCACTGAGAAAAGGTCATTGTGGCGTCTCCGTCCTCTTCTGGTGAGCAGATTGTTGTGGTAACTGGTGTGCAGCTCTCTTTTTCTTTTTCTCCATCTCCGAACAGGGGCAGGGTTATATTTACTGTCTAAAAGGGCGGGGGAAGACTTTAACCGTTCAGGAGGTAGACCACCAACTCGTAGGTGCACATCATGATGGCGGTGTTGGGGATCTGTCGTACCAGGTGGGTGGTGAGGCCGCGGTACAGGGCACGGTATCCTTCCTCTTTGGGCACTGTTGTTAGAGTCTGGAAGAAAGAGCGGTACTTGGTGCCCTCTTCACGTAGCCTGGTGCGGATCACTTCTGCAGAGGCAGAAAGAAAGAGGGAACAGGTTAAAAGGAAAACGAAAAGTAAAGCAGCCTACATTAGCTCATTGCTAATCTGACACTCACCATGAGGATAAGCGATAGTTGTGGCACAGGTCTTGGAGGTGGCAGCAGCAAGCATCATCCCCACAAAGTCAGAAGCATCTTTAGACACCTCCTCTTCCTCGTCCATGTTCTGCGGTGCCTTGGCCTCCAGGAGACGCCGTTTGATGCTTTCATAGATCACAAAGTGGATCACAGTCTCTGAGATGCCAGCGTAAGATGCTGACATTCCCCTGTAGAAGCCTCGCAGGCCGTCTGTCTGATACACCCGTCGCACGCACTCAAACGCACTCAGCCTGCGCTCACCGCGATTCCTGAGAACAAAGAGGAAAAGGACCCATTTTGAAAAGTCTAAAAAAAAATAAAACAGTAAGACCCACTAACATCAGGCATTTGTCGGCAATGAAAAATGGTTCAGAAGATGCTAATTCATTTTTGGCCCTTTTCCGAGCTGTGACGTCTTTCAGGGCACAAACACTGTAAACACACCTGTTACCTGCCCAGCACGGTGCTGGTAAACCAGTAACACCACCACTACACTGCGCTTGGGGATTAAAGAGTGAACACAGCCCCGAAATAAGTTTTAAAAACACACAATCACCAATTGAAGCATCTCACACTGATGCTCCAACACGGGGACGAAAGTCTGCACAGCAACTAACAGCTCACTCTTTCTCTGCTCTGTGTGTGTGTGTGTGTGTGTGTGTGTGTGTGTGTGTGTGTGTGTGTGTGTGTGTGTGTGCTCTGTAACTGCATGTGATAGCTCTGCTCCCTGCAATAAAGAAAGGGAAACTCAACTAGCAGTTTAAAAGGGGTCAATCGCCTTCTTAGCGGGTTTACCAGCGTTTAAAAAACCTGTTTACACCCACTAATTTTGGTGTAAAAAGGGTATTACAAGGACTTTGTCCATTCCCACATTTCCAAATGGACTGGAGTCGATAAATATTACATAATTCTGATATTTATTTACAGATTAAGAAAATGAAGTCATGAAAGCTCATGTATAACTACACAGTAGGATGCAGTCGTGTGTTGCTTTTAGCCTTTCTTTCTCAGTGTTCCCAGGTCAGATTATTGGGTGCAGGGGGTGGGACAAAGCAACATGCCTGGCTGTCTGTCACAGTGTCTTTTTGGATGCTACCACTAGGAGTCTGAAAAACCACAGTTTCAGTAGAGCCTTTATAAAGCTGTACAACTTGTACTATGAGGTTAATTGCTAAAAAAGAAAGTTTGTGGTAGCAGTAGATGGGACACCACCTGGTGGCACAGGGATAGCATACAGATATGAAAGTGTCTCCAGGAATTCCACACCAATTCATCAACGTTTTTGTCAGTCTGGCTTTAAAAATAAAGAGTTCAGGAGTAAAATTAATGAGTATCCCCCAAATAGAAATGTGTGGAAGTCCTGGTGTGGTAATAAGAATTTGCATTAACAGAAAACATAACACAGGGCTTATAGTAGACTGTTAGTGCCTTCATTTGGAAACTGAAATGTGTAATGGATGAAGCTCACACTCTAGTGTCATGTTTACCTAGCATCCAGCTGTAGACGCGTCTTTATGAGCCAGATTGGATTGGTTGCCGTGATGGCTGTAAAACCTGAAGAGGAAAAAAGAAAAACAACAGGGTTACATTTTGTTCAAAATCTAGAAATATGTCAAGCTGCCTGCGGCACAGAAGTGTCCTCAGACTAACACTCTATATGAGATACAAATGCTCTATAAGCTGCATTCACGTTGTTTAAGTTAAAACAATGCAAACGTGTTCTTTTCATTAAAATATAAAGTCACAAGGGCAGCGTAAAGAGAGAGAGGGAGAGGGAGAGGGAGAGAGAGAGAGAGAGAGAGAGAGAGAGAGAGAGATAGAATAGAGGAGAAAGTAGCTCGCCCCTCTATAGACTACCCTATGTGTGCTAGTATGGGAGCAAGTGAATGTCATAAATATTGTATGTGTCATGCAAACAGCCGTTAAAAAAAACTTCCTCTTATCCAATGACCTAGATGATAAGGGAGAAGAGGATAGAAATGCGTAGAGAGACAGAGAACAACCAGATATATTTAGAAAAAAAAAGCACAGATCTGTGGTGAGTACTCACGCAGACCCAAGTAACTCCTCACAGATGCAGCTAGAGACCCCTGGCGGTGCGGGGGTCTCATGCCCTTGCGAGAGGAGAGCTACGGTAGAGTAAAAGCCTAAAACAGACACAGGCTTGTGTGTAGCAAAATGACCGGCATGCAACCATTTAACTTCAACCCATTCCCTCCAGTTATCCCCCAGGAATCAACCCACCATATTCATGTGAAATGATCATCCCGCAACCAAGACAGCAGTAGGGACATGGAAGAATACAGCTACAAAAACAATTATTAATACAGTAACAATAATTAGCTGCCATGGAGCTAAAAGTGATGATCAAAGTCATTTCGTGACCTCTCAGATTTATCATGTGACCCTTTGGAGAGGCCTGATCCCTAGACTGGGAACCACTGTGCAAAACTCGCCATCTGTATATAAACTGGTTGTAGGAAACAAATTCTTCATGTCAAAATATTTTGCAAATGTTATCTTTATTGCCTCATAAGATATTAAGTTTATTAACTCAATTGTGCTTTGGGTCAACTTTGTGCCAAGTGTACATCAATTGTTAACCATGGCAGAGGTCAGCTCTAACCTTTGCTGTAGGTATCATGTATCATTGCAGGGACTGGATTAATCGCTGGACAGTCGACACCTCATCACCCTGTCAGCTCAGCTCAGTCTGACTGGACAGAGATGTCCTGACAAATGCTGACCTTGACTGAGTTGCTGAAAAGTCTGAGTCACGGTGGGCTAAAAGTGGCACCACCATGAACCTGTCAGATTCACCTCCGCATACACACAAACACACACACACACACACAAACAGTAGATGCAGCTGCCTGTCTGACCCACATTGTAATGGCTCGGCAGTCCCAGATGGTTAAGTGTGACATAAGAGCAGATAACCTACCCTTGACATACAAAGCAACAGAGAGCAATGATGGAATATTTAAGTCTGGCCTGTTAACAGGCTACATTCTTAATTAAACAGTTTTAGGATTGCTACTGTAGCAGTACAAAGAAAAGTCTGGGGAAAAGGTGACAGCAACAAGATTAACTTGTTTTTGTATACACAGGGTCTTCAGGAGAAAAGTCTTTAACATCAAACATAACACGAACTAGTTGTACCACCGATTGCTCTCTACAGAGGGATCAATGCAAACACAAAGGCTCACAGCAGCAATACACACAGCTGGTAAAACCACTATTCATCTAAGCTTACCAGCACTGAACCAGACCAGGTCCGTTTACTCAGCATTTCTCACAAGCATGCTGGAAATGTTCACGAGGTTACAGTACGTTAAAAAGCACTACATGGTTTTACATATTTATCTGTTCCCTCAGATGTGTAGTTACCTGCCATTCCAGCCGACGCCATGTGTACCTGTGTGGAGTCCGGTTCCAACACACCGTTCAGTTTCTCTTTGGCAGTAGAGTAAGCAGCAAAGTAGATTGCTCTGTTGCAAGTAAAAGAAAAGAAAGGTCAGAACATGTTACACCTGTACATGGCTAAAGAGTTTATGTAAGTCACGCTTTCAGTGTAAAGCTAATTAGTTTCAGTCTATTGTGTACCTCCAGTAGGGGTGTAGCTCATTAATTACAACATTAACAAGTGAAACTCTCCCCATGTCACGTTCAGCTTAATGAGCTGTCTAAGCAAAGAGGGTTTTCAGTATAAAAGCACATCTTCATCTGTTTTCACTAAGTGTCTTTATTTGTTTTCACCTAATTAAAGAAGGTCATAATGATCACGGTCATGCTCTAAATACAAGCTGCTTTTGCTCTTTCCCTTCTAGCAGCGATAGCACTGTGTAATGCGCCATCTGGTTCAGTTCTACAGTCATTAGTCAAATGTGCTTAGTCAGACTATTAATGATGCTAAAAGCTCATCAATCACATGATAAAACGGTGTTTGGCTGTGCAGTCATCTTTAAATCTGCGTCACAGCTCGGGAGGCCCTCGTCTTCACGTTCACTGATCTGCACCAGCTTTCGTTCACCTAAGATGCTAACATGCTAACCAAACACTCTACAAATGCTTAGCACTAGCACCTGCTTGCTGCAGTGTTACCCGCTGCCCACTGCCATTAGCTATTTGCTCCCATCATTACTACTGAGGGCAATTAGAGATGATGACAGTTATACGTTATTACCTAACTGCAGTCAGAGTATTTCCCACACATAGACCCAGTGTTGTTCTCAAAACGCTGCTGCTGCTGCCACGTTTCCAAAGACACACATCAACATCCAGTAAGCGGCTCAAAAACTGCTGAGAAAGCCGTGAAGATGGATGGAACCTAAATGGCCGTGGATCCCTAATGCTTTTTTGTCAGCAAGTAACCTCAAGAATCCCTGTGGTAGTTACATAACACCAATGTTCCTCACAGCTATTCCTCCCTGTAAAAACAGCTCATGTATTCATAAATGTTTATCTATTACCCGGATCGGACAGGAATGTTCATTGTCAGGGACGAGCGCAGGTAAATGTCATTGGACAGAAAAGTAATGTGACCATGACTTCAGAGAAAATGCACAATACCAGGACACTGGAAATGGTTCACCAAAATGGAACACAGCCATTCTTAACGCTGTTGATTACACCTGTGCTTATCTTGCTATGACAGATTAAAATGTCTGCTGTGGAAATTTCTATTCACAGTAACCATCACTTGGTTTGTTTGGTTACTAAGTGGTAGCGAGGGGAAGATGTATCCCATTAGTGCTATCAATGTATAACCAATGTCAGCCAACAGCATGCAGACAGTTGTAGCTCAAAAGTTAACATGGATGTTAACAACACTTGTAGTCTTTTGGTGTATTTAATGGGGAGTGAGCTATGAGTCATCATGTTAAATAATACTAACATCTCTAGCATCAAAATAATATTTAGAAACATGCTTTACAATATTACAAACAAACAGTTATTTTCATTATCGTTAATCTGTTAAATATTTTTTCAATCCTTTACTCAATAATTAATAAAAATTAATTAATTAGTAATGACTCAATAATGACAATAATTTCCTGTCAATCAGCGTATTGATTAATTAACTTATCGTTTTCAGTTATAAACACTAAAAGAAATACTTCTAAATTACTGTATTAATCTGCAGAGGAATAATAACACTGGAGACAGATTTTGAATTCCATCAAAGGATCAGTTAGTCAAAGTAATTCAATGACTATTACTTGACTAGGAACGTCTTCACTTAAGGACAGCACTAACTGCTTTATAGTCTATCACGTCATAGTCCAAATAGGTACACATTGTTAAGAATATGATGAGGATAAAGTTGACAAGAGTCATCTCACCTGGAAGGTGCCACGCCCACCAAGTTTGGCCCCAAGCCCCTGAAGAGTGAACGAGGTCCTTCTTTCTCCAATATCAATCTGAAAATCAAACACACAGAGAAATAGTGTATATGATTCCACCCCCCATCATATATACACTCTAGGGCACTAGATAAACGCTATCTACTGGTGTTGTCCAATTTCTTAAGCTCTAAAGTCCAGTTAAAATTCTATGTTTATTTGGTAACACTTCAAGATTCAAGTGTTCTTCTTTGGCCTGTAAGGACGGTGATGTAAGTTGGACAGCCCAATCAAAACTTGTGCCCAAAGCGAAGTCTTTGAAAACGTTGTAACTTGTCATCAAACTTACTGAACACATTCATTCTCACAACAGGATAACCCCTTAAGATTTTAAAGACTGGCCTTTCCTCTCCTTCCACCCACAGCAGGAACTTTAGCCTACATTCAAAGCCCTAAACTATTAGTGATCTAAGAATAGAAAAAATTGTCAGTAGTCAGTTGTCTGTTGTTTTCCCCCATTCAACCCCTTTGTATTGTCGGGGGTAATGAACACTGCAGGGTCTCGGGGACACAACGCACACATAAATAAGGGGAAATATTTTCCAGTTTAACGAGTTGCATAATATGTTAATCTGCATGTGTTTTTTTTCTTCAAAAACATAATAGCTGCTTTATCTTAAAAAAGCAGTGAGAATTAACCTAAAGGCACAACAACATAACATCGATGCATTTACTCATTTATTAGAGTTTGCTCACAAAAAGTGGATTTGCTCCAGTCTCCTCAGCTGTGTGTCATGTCTAGATGCTGGTGTGCCACTTTTGGCTGATGTGGCTACAGTGCGCAGCAACTGGGCAGATGAATATGTTGAAATTTTTATGCAACCTCACTGACTGTACCCTGTCCACCACTGCCTACAAAAGCTGCATGTTATTCAGTCTATTTCCACAGAGATCTACTAGTTTCAACTTGAACATGATTCATTTTTGGTTTGAGAAAAATACAAGACGTGTCTGCCCTCACTGTTTCTTGCAAGGTGTTTAATCTAGCAATGGTGCCAAAAAATGAGCAGGTCTGAAACTGTCAGTGGGACTACAGAACTGTATTAAACAGTAGTTTGACAACATACCAAAAGTATTTAGTTAGGGATACACTGCCATGCTACACAACCAAGTTAAACCTGCCACGGTGATTGGCACCTGAATTAAATGTGACTTAGTTGAGTGGCACCTAGCCATCATTATTAAACACACTTTTTCAACAGGCCTCCTGAAGCAGGAAAGGTCTGTCATAACAGACACAATGAGTCATGAGAAATTACACATTCGTGAAAGTCTCACAAGATACAAAAAGTAATAATAGTTGGATTTGTTATGAAATTTCCTGTTTGGCTAAAGCGACTGACATGTGTTCTTGTGTGTAGTATTCCCAAAGGGTGAGGACTTGGAGTAGGGTTTCAGGGAGTAGCTGGCCTTGCCAGGGGGACATCAGCCAGATCAAACAACAAGAGGAACAACATGGTGCCTGTTGAAGAAGGCACTGTGACTCTGCAGCCAAACTTCTCTGGGAGAGCAGGGGAAAGGAACCATGAGCTACATACATGACCAGCTCCACTCATTTTGGTTAAAGCTGAAATATTGACCATAAGCCAGCAATGTTTATGTTTCAGCAAAGGTTTGTATGATGTATATAAAACACAAAATGGATGCAAGACATGGTAATTGCATGAGTGTGAGTGACAAATGTTGAGTACCCACTTGAGACAGTGCAGGGGGCCTGGCGGGGACACGCGGGCCACACTTGCCCCGTTGACGGTACTGAGCTGAACCTCAGACACATAGAGGGTGATGGAGGAGGACTGCAGACGGGTCTTCACTACTTCCAGAGGACAAGTTAATATGGCTCCTACCGTACCCCCACATCTGGCAGAAAGACAGAGATGGAAAAAGGTTGAGGTGAGATAGCAAACAATCTCCAGTCTCAGCTGACAGACTGATATTAAGTGTCCTTCGGTGGTGACAACAGTCTGGATGGTCATAGGTGTGCATTTTCCTGCATAAATAAATTAGGTAACGATGTGGTTAGGTGAATTCTAAAGCTCCCTGGCATGTAGACAAGAAATAACAGTGTGGGAACAGTGAGAGCCAGTCAGGAATGCTTTGTGTTTCTTGGGAAACAACAGCAAGCTTCTGTTCAGTGCCACACCACATTCCAAACTCACACATGTATGTATTTTCATACAAGGATTTATCAAATAGTGCTCAAATAACAGCTGCAAAAAGTTATTGTGTTTTTGTTTTAGCAAGCTTGATCATAGGGACTACCATTTCAACCATTCAGCCAATATAAAAATAAATGTTTGTGGATATGTTGTGTTTCTCATTTTGCTGCCCCATTTATCAAAACCCACACACTGTCAACTGTGAATCGTAAAACAAATTATTTAAAAGTTTTAACATTCACAGAGTCACACAAAATCATGAGCCAAGATCTTTAGACATGCATAACTCAATGCCCTGTACAAACACATGGCTACATCCAGGGCATCATTTTATGACCAGAAAGTCACCTGCTCATTTAACAAATATAAAGACTGATAAAAGAGAACACAAAAACAATATCTGCATGGCTTACATAAATTAACTAAATCTGTTGAGATTGTACTGAGCAGGGCAGGGCCAAACAAGAGGAAATCAAATGCAGGAGTGCCAGTACTTTATCTTTAGTTAAGGTTCAATTTCCAACAACCCCTGTGCAGAGATAGTAAATCCTGTAAACAAACAACAAACTTTTTGGCACAGGTAAGATGATGGGCAGCAGCCAGCTACTATACACACCACAAAAAACGGAGGATTCTGCCACAGGAAAAACATGCATAGACGAGGAGTCAGATTTGATCTCACTTAAATCCTGGATAGTGGGCTATGGCCTAATAAACAAAAAATGGGATATCTTGAAAGGGTACATAAACATAGCATGTTTAGGCCCATAAAACTAATAGCGTACTCAATTGTGCCATAATTCTTCATCGAAATACATAAGTCACCGGTCTATCAGTGTAGCCTCACAATAAAATAATAAAGGCTCTACAAGACCGCATGAGTCAAGGCTGCAGTAAAAATAGTAAGTGAAGTGCTCATTTACCTTTACAAGAAATAATTATAGTAAACTAAATGGCTCAACTCGTGCCTGGATAGTCTGTCTGAGGCAAGGAGATACAATTCTACAACATTTAATGTTGCCATGGGTCTGTCAAAACTTCAGCATGTCGTTTCACCCACTTTCAACGGTGGTATGGACTGTCTGAGTTGAACTGTGGATTCACAAACTTCCTATAACAATACCAGACTTATCATCATCATCATCATACTTGGCAGACCACCATGACAGAAAAGACTAGACTGCACTCCACTGTGTCCACACAATTTAAATGTTGTATCAGTCACATCCGAGCACACACGTTTTGTCTGGTTTCTAAACACTGTTTTCTGAGTGACCTTTAGTGGCAGCTTGCCCACGTTTGTTTTGATGCACCAACGTTACGGCTGATGACATCGAAAGTGGGATAGGCTCACTTTTAACATCCATGTGTTCTTCAAACGAAACTAATCTTGATATTTACCTTTTGTAAAAAAAAAAAATTATTATAACTGCTACGATGACTAACAGTGAATACAGAACGCGCTTCACACACCAGCCATTTCATTAATACACTGAAATGTCATTGTAACTTGTGACATTGAGTTCACCCTACGGACGCACAGTCATACACACGATTGGTTAGATGACATCTGGCACACCGATGCTACCACGGGTCTTCAGGTTAACGTTATTCCACTAACCAAATCCCAGTATCGTGAACATACCAATACAAACGTCCCAGAATGTGTAGCTACACTGGTTAGCAGCGACTGTTAGCCCTGCGCGTGGAGCTAGCTAGCTCACCTCTTGTATGTACATAACATGGGAATATACTCACCCTCCAGCAAACAGATGAACTAAGGTATCTCTTTGACTCATTATGTATCATATTCGGGAACCGTCCACAGGGCACCACACGGGGACAACGGGAGCGGACGGGAGGAAACAGGGGGGGATAACGACCCCAACCTAGCAAGCAAATGATTCTCAGTGCGTCTGTGTTGTGGTGGAGGTCAGTTGCATGGAAAAAAGACGACGGTGTAACAGCTAGCTTGCGTTAGCAGCAAAAGCTAACGGGTTTCCGGTGGTAAAGGTCGATGTCAGAGCCACAGGTCTGCGTCTCCTACTTGTGAAACAGGATAATGCTTCACCATAGTGTGCGTGTCTTTAATGTCGGTGGGCAATTCCAGTCTTCCAGTCTTAATAACAGCGACTGTGGAAACGACTCGGCCTCACTCACGTTGACGTGCGTTGTCTCACTGTGAGACCGGCGGGTCAAGTCGCAATGTTTATCGTCGAATGGGAAGCCGCAAAACAGAGGCGGCGATTGGTCGAGGTGCCCCCTTAACCCGCCCCGTCACTACTCTTTCACGTGATATCGCTTTTCATTTTGGAGGGCAGAGATCGTCACTCTGGAGACAGAGGGGTTGAGCTCTGAGTTTAGCTGGTGTCACGAAGAAGAGCCGAGAAACAAGGCAGATTTCTTAACTTCTCTTTGGGTAGGATGCACTTGAAAATCAGTGAAGTCACTTAACACAATGTAGTACTTGCTGTAGCGACAAAACGCGCCGCTGTGCAGCTACGTAACTTTTCATTCTCCTTACAAAAACACTCACATGTATGTGCCATTTACTTGGAAAACTCGCATATTTCGCTCCGTAATTGTTCAGTCATACATGTCATAACTGCATAGGTCAGTGTGGACGGGGCACAAAGGGTATGCAGCCTATAGACGAACACGGCTTTCCAAAGAAGGAAGCTTCAGTTTTCAAAAGTATGTTCGCCCGAACAGGGACTTGAACCCTGGACCCTCAGATTAAAAGTCTGATGCTCTACCGACTGAGCTATCCGGGCTCTGGAAATTACTACAAGTACAGTATCTGCTTATGGTTCAACGCAGTCTGTAGTGGTGGTGATTTGGCGGTGTCCTACTGAATGAACAACAAACGTCCCAGTTAAGCGTTTTGTCGGCTTATACTACATTTCAATTCTCTGTAGGAGCTCCTGTCTCATGAAAATTAAATTATCTTGATCATTTATCATCATTTGCAGGTTGGGTTGACATAGAACTGTAAACTAATTGCTGTAAGATAGGCCACAGGATTTGCAAACCCATACCCAGTTTTGTTTTCCATAGCCAATAATAAATCACCAGATCCTGCATAAAGCATTCTACATGATATAGAAGATGAGGGATCACCTAGTGTATGTATCACTTAAGTTCCTGCAGGTGATCCCATAAGAAATCTGAATATAATTTACCAATAAGCATTCCTGTTTGGCCTATTTTTGCTTCATGTTCACACCCCAAGTATATGTTTAATTTTGCAGTAAAAGTGTCAAATTCTCATGAGTTCAATGGTGTAGGTAGTACAAATATCTATGCACCAATCTCCCCCATGGAACTACAGTATGTTATGCTACACTACTGGACCTGAAAGGTATAAAAGAAAGGGCCAATTGTTACAGCCTGTAAACAGAACCTAAGCTTATATATGGCATAAATGAGATGATGAATTTAGACAAAAAAAATGGTGCCTGCCACAGACTGAATTTGACCTCAGTTCATTTTGGTATATGTAACCTACACATCTCATACAGAGATTCTTTGTGCCAACTTTATGAGTGTGTGTGAACTGAGACTTGAAAGTCAAGTGTACACAGAAAATGAGGTTTACTAATTTGGGCAGCAGAATAAAATCCACACGCCATTTAATTTTCGTAAGTACAGATGCAATTTAACCAGGCCAGATCATGTGCCGCAGTTTCTCATCTAATCACGTTACTGTCCAACTGTATGAAGGCAAAAAAGGCACGAAAGTGGGGTCACTAATCTGGCTTGTAAGGTTTTCTTATGTTTTCTGTATACAATCGGAGTTTTTTTTTCATATACAGTAAAGAATGCACTAGTACTATTACAGCATGTCTTTCATAGATCAACATTAATGACATGATATACAGTATATGGGCTGTTTTTATATAAGCCAAAGTGAGTAAGTAGGAAAACCAAGAACAATGATCTACTGCTCCCTGAAACAGATGTCTATAGAGAATTTTTCTTTTGAAGGATTTATGGCTTTACGTTTTTTTCTACATAGAAAATCTAATCCGATAATACATATTACATTGTGCCTTCAAAGGAAAACTGTATTTGCAACTGTCTGTCTATGAATATAATATGAATTTTCCTGTGCTACAAATATCACATTTGCTCTTAAGGGGCTGTTAATGGTAAGATCCAGACCGTCTAATTTCAGTTTGGCCTTCGCAGTCTACGATGGCTACAAAGGGCCACACCTTTGTAGACCACGTCCTTCAGAGGATGCAGCATCAAATATTAGAGCAAAGTGAATGAGATTTATATCTCTCTTCTACCAAAATCTCTTTCTTGTCAGGCCCCCTGAAGGCTATACACCAGTTATTCGTGAGACTGTGTGACTGCCCTTGAAACTGGACAGTATAAACCCAGACAAGCCAACTACAGAACTGCAATACTGAGAAAATTAGTTATTTTTTGTGAGAGAAATGGCAACATCAACTGCGGGTACATGACCTGTGGGTGTCTGTTTGTGAGGGAAGTGTATTTTTGGACTGCTTGTTTGCTTTGGCTGTGGAGGCAGAGACCAACATCTTGGTGTATTACATGCAGGTCTGTCTGTAAATACTCAAATAAAAAGTTAGTCTGAACTTTGAGAGCAAACATTCCTTCAAGGGCTTTTGATTGGCTAAATTTAAGCAACCAAAACATGTTTTGTACAAAAACAAAACCATAAGGTTTAAATCTGTTGAAGCCAAAGCTGGCCTTTGGCCAATCAGTTATCTTATGCACTGAATACACTGTATGTTACAGGACAGGTTTGTCTGTGGCTTTTTCTAAGATTGGGAATGCTTAACATCTAATGAATGCTTAAAGCATTTTTGAAAGTAGAAATAACATTAATTTCTTTGCAAATTAAGGATAACCAATAAAACACAACATACTCAGAGGTTTTACTGCGACAGCTTTACATTGTCTGGTGTAAACAGTAGGTTATGGTGGTTCACGTTAGCTGTTAGCAAAATTTAGTTAACTTTGCCTATATAACTGACATACTTACCTTTGTACATTTTTTTGTTTTAGTGACAGTGGCCACAATGGTCACTGTTCAGCTAAAGTTGCAGAGTCTTGCTTTAGGTTTCTTTTCTGACATTTTAATCATCATTTGGTCAAAAGCATCACCTGCAAACTCGACGAATCTATTGAAATTCATAGCCGTGTTAAGTGGCTAGTAACTCCATCTTTTCTTTTTAAGAATTATCTTATTTTTGATATGCTAATGGTTCATAGGAATCTGTAGATCTAATATCAAGCAATTACAATAAATTAAAAACAAATGACAAGTCAGCAGTCACTGCACATGTCAACCACTTATCATGAGTATGTTGCAGCAGCTGACCAGGTGTGTGTCCCTATCAGCTGAACACAGAGGTTCCTGTCCCCTCTATATTAGGGAGAGACAGTAAATCTGTAGCTGTGTGGCGACCATATTAGGGTGCTCCCTTATAAAGGAAATTGATTTGGGGAATCCCTCACTGTGAAGTAATCCCTGGCAAGTTTCAAGTGTGTCACAGTCCCCATATTAGGTGACTGGTTTACTGTATATTATCTGTATGTGGAAAACAACCAGTTACTAGGTTAAGCATGGGTGTATGAACAGACTGTATATATGTGAATAAATGTATGAATGTATATGAATAAACGTATATGAATGGATATATATGAATATATGTTTTATTAATTTACAATTAACATTACTCATCATCACATTTAAGCAGGCATCAAGGGGTTTTGCAGTGCCTCTAAAGACTCACAAGATAACTTGTGACTAACTTATAATTTATGGGAAAATGTACAACAAAAGAAATGTTTTTTTATGTTTCACTATTTGTTAGTGAGTCTGCATGTGGCCTGTACAGTTAGAATTAGTGAGAAAAGAAGAAAGTTATCTCCCCATTACTTGAAAACATTTTCTGGAACACAAGGTAGGTCAACACAGCATCAATGATCAACCATTGTTTGACCATGTGGGCTACTGAACTTTTTAGTTTGTTGATAAAGAAACATTTCCCTTTCTCACTGGTTGAGTGTTTATGTGGGTTGATTTCCATGTAATGTAAAAGTGATTATACAGCATTCTATAATCTTGCGAATGTGTGTTTTGTAATGAGGAGATAAGATCAACGCTTCTTTTTGTACACCAGTAAGTGAAATCCATTAGGAAAATACTAGTTAAACTTTAACCATTTCAGGGCATTGAGTTTATTTCTGTGACACGCGCGTACCCATGCTTTCCTCACATGTGTCTGGCATTCCGACAATACCCAGTCAGGATACATTTTCATCCACTTGGTTCTCTCCTCACATAACCTCCTTCGGTGGTTCAACATACAGATTTTCTTACAGCGCCTGTACGTATCCCAAGCTCACTGCTGGTTGAAACTGGACTGTGACCCTTGATGAAATTCAAAACAGCAAGTTGAGAGGAAATGTTAAAATGTCCTGGCTACAAAAAATAAGAAAATGTTGATATAAGAATGGCAGGCGACTACTGGAGGATGTGATACATATTGCAAAAGTAAAGAATAAATCCATTACTTGATCACCTCTGTGCTCTGTTTCTGTTTATCAAAACTGATTATCATTATAATCATTAATATTCGTGTGATCTAGATTTGTGCTTAAACAAGTGCAAACTTATTTTGAATTTAGCTGGCAGGAAACCAAAGCAGGCTGGAGTTATTGACCTGGAGCACAGGGAAACTCAGGATTAGAAACATGCAAATATTTGTATGTATGCATATATATATGATTTGAGGAACAGTCAGCTAGAACTTGTCCT